ACCTTTAATTACTCAGAACTTTAAGCCTCAACACATTTTAAACGGATGAGTTTTATAACATTTCAACCTTTGTACAGGTGTCAGGAACAGGAAAATTACATACAGAGGCTAAAATCCTGTTTTGTCTGCGGCTGTATGTTTATTACTGCTGTAGCTTTGGACATTTCAACATGGAGGTCTGCGGGGAGGACTCGCTGTTGCTGCCAGCCTCAAGTAGCTATTCAAAGAACTCAAGCACTTCTGCGTTGGCTCCATTTTTCAGCCACTGGGGTTGCAGCTTGGTAAATGCCAGCATCGCTTTACTTCCCACAATCTCAGCTAAATAAAATAAATGCACAGGCCAAGCCGAGGAACACAGATGGTCACACAGGTTATGTTCTTGGACTAGAAAAGAAGACGTTATACAACAGCTACAGGCTGGGCGGTGCTGAGATGTCTTCAACAAGAAACAACTGATTTGTAAAGAGTGCTCCTTTGCTGTAACACAACATGAGCCAAAAAAAGAGAGACAGCTTTAAAAAACCTTGATCTAAATGTCTGGTCAGAAGTGATTCAGGAACCTTTATCCTCAACCACCACCGTGTCGTACTCTCCGTCAGCCGATAAGGATTCTCTAACAGCCCATTTTCTCTCATCCATCCAGACGCAGTTGATGATCCATCTGGATGTTTACACCCCCCCTCCAATCTCATTTAATAACACAGCCCTGTCAAATCCCTCTGACTCATATTTGGACAAAGGGCCCAGCAGAGGACAAAGCTTTTGTTTCTGGAGCTAATGGTTCAGCTGGTCAATTCACACATTACAACAAACGCAATCAAAGTGGCTGAAGAGAATACCGCTGTAATTTGGACATCAGATGGCACAAAGCTGGTAAAAGTGAAAAAAAAACTGTGTGTTTCTGTTGAGAAGCCAGCTTCGGTCTGACTGAAGGTCATCGCATCTGTGAGCTCCACGCTTTCCACAAACATCCTCTGGCATCAGTGTGGAGCGCTCAGTTGTGTCCTGAATGCTGGCCAGTGACCCTGTGTGTACATGCTTTACGTACGTTGTGTGCTCATGCGTGTTAAAGCCACTCGTCCAAGTGGTCGGGGCTCGTGCAGCATCAGCAGCAGGACACGCAGCACCCCCCGAGGAACACTCCATGCAGCTGGAGCCGTCGCTGATAAAGCAGCAGCCAGCACAAGCCTCTTCGCATAAAGCGCACACATAGAGATAAAACTGCAAACACACACATGAAGGGAAACACAGGCAAGCACGCACACACAGATACTCCAAGAAGCACATGCACTCACACATCAGTGATCAGAAAACAGACAGATAAACACCCAGGCTCCAAAATTGCATACCTTCACTCCCTTGTTGTACACTCATTGTGCACATACACAAACACACACAAATATACAGACACACTTAACAAGCAGGCATCTTTTCCGCTACATCATAATTTCAGCCCCTTCCCTCCCCTACACAACAGCAAATTTAAGGGAAAGGGAAATATTTCTGCTAAATTAGTTATGCTAATTACAGAGCAGTTCTCAGGGGGAGAGACGGCGCTAAATGGCTTTTAATTCTTTTCGCCTGGAAAGAGATGTGGGAGAGAGCCAGACAGAAAGCGGAGAGAAAGAAGCACAGAACACAAGAAAAAAAATAAATTAAAAATTAAACCAATAAACACATAAACAACTAGCGTTAAAATTTGCCCGGTGACACAGCAACAGTGAACTAACAGAATTAGCAGCTCAGGGGAGGAGGGAGGAGGCCCAAAGCAGGCGGCCGGCCAGACAACAAGTCGCCTTATCAGCTCCGGGGGCCCCGGGTCCCTTGGCCGACGGGGAGAGCAGAGAAAAGTTTTGCGGCTAACTTTGTGTCCTGTAGCTTTTGCCAGCGGTCAAACAGTGATAACGAGGCATGAGCAGATAGCACACAGCAGCGTACATGGAAGGCACCAGAGGAAACACTGGGTTCTGTTTCACACAGAGCCTTATTAATTCTCTTACACTCACTCTTCAACAACCAGTTTTCCACTTAAGTATACGCTGTGTACTGGTGTCGACAGCGCACTCCTGTGGCAGTCAGGCACCGCAACTTGGAAATCATATAAGATAATATATACCTCTGTCAGATACTCTGACCAGTGTTTTTAATCTTTACAACAACCAAAAACTACTCTGTTAGATTTAATTCAAGCAACATACGAGGAGTGTCAGAAAAGTTCCAGGACTGGTGTCACAAGAGATCTATTCCAAACCCAAACTACAAACTCTGAGTTTCTCCTTCAGACCATCAACCAGCTCGTCTACAGAGGTCCTGCAGCGTTTGCTTCGTCCAGAAGAGGCAGAGTTGCATCAGGACCAGTGGAGGCTGCGTCACCATGACAACCTGCTCACAGCGCCCTGAGCATCCCACAGCTCCTGCTGAGAAGAACATCTCCTCCCTACTCACCCCACCTGGCTCCCTGGGGTTGGTTTCTCCTCCCCAAGCTCAAGGGCTCATCAAGGAGACCCGTTTAGAAGATGTGGACGACATCAAGATGGCTGTGAGGACGGAGCTGAGAGGATCCTGAAGAATCCTTCCAGGAGTGAAGAGAAGGCTGGAGGAGGGTGGTAGACTCCAGGAGGAGTACTGGGACGGGGACCACTGGTAGTTTGTAGTTTGGATTTGAGATATATCTTCTGTGAAGCCAGTCCTGGAACTTTTCTGACACACTTCGTTCAACCAAGTTTTCACTTTTTCCTCCTTTGAAAACTCTTGTGTGACTTTGGCTGCTTGCTCTGAATGATGATCATTCTGGAATAGTCCTCCAGACAGAGATTCATGCTGTTGGTGTGTTCACAGGCGTTCACGGTGCCTGAAATGTCATCTGTTTAACAGTATTTGCACTCATGCAGCCCCATATTCTGATTCTGATTCTGATATTGTCACACTCTCATCGATGTGCTTCACTGCCAGGACGATGCATTCACTGTGGTCGTCCTGGTTAGGGTCACACCAAAGACACTGGACTCCATCTGAGCTGAACAGATGTGTTCCCAATCCTCATTAGCCTTCTGTTAATGATATTCTTTGATGTTGTTTATTAAAGCTGACATCATCTGTCCTTCTTACGGTCTAAGCTGTCACAGGAACTCTGGTTTCCACTGATAACCCTTGTGCCAAGTCTGACACACCTCACTGTCTGTGTGTCACAGTTCCATTGTGCAGGTATCACCACTTCAGGAGGAAGGCTATGGAGCGTCCATGAGTCGACTATGACTCGTTCTGTACCTGCTCAGATCTATTTCCACTGATTTTCAGTTGGTCACTGATCTTCCTGCATCCTTTTCCATCATTATGAAGTCTCACCCTCAGATGTTTTTGTGACAGTTTTTTAAATCGTGGAGCCACGATGCCGACAGACACACCCAAAGCTAAATAAAAGTTCTGTTCATGTCATTCTATGGCTGCGTGTGAATAACGTCATGGTAGCAGGCTAACTGGAAATCACAGATGTACTCGGCTTTGTTTGAATGATCACGTTTTCTAACTTGTGTCAGCGATTAGAGGTGTTGGTGTTTAGCATTTCAGGTGATATTAGATTACCGTATGTGGTTCCGTAGTTCATCATGAAAACACTCCCACCATGTAGCTGCATGTCAGGTTTACAAGCACTGAAGTCTGATTAAGAGAGAACTGACATGTTTGATACACGATGACTTGACTGGAAGCAAAATCATCTCTGCGTCTCAGTTGATGGATCTGTGAGGCATAAATGCTCCCATTCAACATGAAATAAAGGAAGCAGCTGTTGTCAAAGAGCATCCTCTAACAGGTGAGTCAGTTCCCTCCTGCCCTGCGAATGCCCTGAAGCCAGGCGTTCAATCGATAAATTGCTCTCGTGGAGTAAGACAAGACTACAGTCGTGGTGCACAGCTCCGATACGCAGCCATCAGTTCAATCTACTCACATCACCCGACCAAATGTTGGCAGAACAGCTGAATAAATCCCACTGGGCTGAGAATCAATATTACAGGAAGCTCTCATCAAACAGAGAATGACTTTTGCACCTCTCTGTTTTCCAGATGTATAGTATGTTGACACCGTTTGCTGCTGTAGCCTGATTTCAGCTTCACTTGACTGATGCGTCCTTGATGTGGGAAGCTGCAAGTGTTCTCACATGTCTTACGATTCATTTTCAGCTATCACTGCAGAGGAATACATAACGCAGAAATGCAGCGCTGGAGGCAATCTGTCACAACAATAAAGCGATATACGGTGTTTAAACAGTTTCTCTCCTCCATAACAAATAAAAACAGTTGCAGTTATCACGTCTGAAATGTATTTCAAAGCTAGTGGAGAAGGTACATCTTTAGAGAAAAAAAAAACTGGTTATTGGATTTTGGAAGATATTTCCTGTGTGACACCATCAACGCCTCGCACAAAAAATACAGAGTGAGTCATAAAAAGTTGCCGAGTGAATCAAATGCTAAACTCTGGCTGTGTCATGATATCATCGAGCGATGTGCATGTACACCGGGTAAGCAGGTTATGATACCGGGCTGCGAAAATGGCTTCAGGGAGCTTTTATAAATCAGGATCATTGCAAGTGTCCTGGGAATACAAACAACACACACAAACATTGTAAATTTAAATCTCTAAGCGTCTCCACGCGCTGTTACCTGAACATCCAGTTCAGGCTGTGCCCCCACAAAAACAAACACACTTTTATTGTCGGTCCCTCTCCAATACGGGGCTATAAGCAGTGGCCAGTTTTATGTCTTTTAATTAGTATACCGTCGCTATAGCAGCATCCAGCTGGCAAACAACCACCTCCTTACACACACATACATAAACAATGGAGGAGGTAGGCAAGACAAAGGGAGGGGAGTGTGTTCAGTGAGGAAAAGAATCACAGTGACAACACGGGCCTCCGTTATGACAGGGAAACTGTGTGTGTGTGTGTGTGTGTGTGTGTGCGTGTGTGTGTGCATGTGCGCGTGTGCGATAAGTGACGCATGTACCTGAAATTAGGTGCAGAGGCCCATTCTAGGGCGAGGCAAGCCAAGTCCACGGCAGCATACACCAGCAGGAAGAAAATGGTCACAATACTGGCGATGGTGTTGAGCTTTCCTGAAAATAGCACCAGCTAGAAAGAAAGCAAGAGCAAAACAAAGGGAGAGGCAGAGAGAGGGGGAACAGAGAGAGACGAGGATTAACATTCACAGCAACACGTCATCCCAAAGTTGGACAGAACAGTGGAGCTGGAGTATGAAGTCAAGCGTGTGATCTGCATGTTCATGTGGGCTTTGGCTGAAAATAAATTGAAGATCTTTTCTAAGCAACTTCACCAAGTGTTTACCTCACTGTCAGGTTCCTGCACTGGCAAAAGCAACAGGTTAAACATGAGACAAATGCAGCCAGGTTGTCTAAAACAGTTCTTGTTCTCTAACAGCCAGCGCAAGAAGAGATGGAACATGCCATACAAGATTGGTTAACCTCTTAGTTTGACAAATCTGAGCTGTGGAACGGGTCCAAAATCACCAGAAGAATGTGTAAAACGTTGTAAATATATAGTTTGATTCTAACACAGGGACTCTACGTTGGCTGCTAACGAGGCCAGCAGTTCCACACATTTTCAAGTTAGAGATCTCCAGGTAATTGAGTCCATTTGTGTCCCCAGAACCCTCTGTTAGACACGATTATCCGGCTGCACTGTGGTTAAGAGGTCACGGCGAGGACAGATTCGACCACCACCTAGGGAGCAAGACACTGCTGAAATTAAATTGTTCTACATTTTGCTGGCGACCGTGGGAGGACCACAGGTGGTCTCCTGGCTCCACTTTGGAAGCTAATGATTGAGGCTAATGTTCAGTTTTAATTAGGATGGTGTGTGCGTTGCTGTTGGGCTGCACGCGGTCAGCTACATCAGGTGCCTGACAGCACGGCCAAGAGCAGCTACATTTCAGATTCTCAGCGGCTGCTTTGGAGGCAGAGTCGTACGTGTAATAATAATGACAGCACACGGATGTATGAGCTTCACCTCCTCAGACAGAGGTGCAGTCGCTGGCTTCTAATAGGGGAGGGAAGTGATGACCTCATTATAAGCACTGCTCCCTGCCGTGTTCTCTGACATCAGAACGTGTGAACATGACCCTGTGTAAGTCACTGCGACTCAGCGAGGAGGAGGAACGAGAGCAGCAGGAAATTCCTCTGCTTCACCTGAATGTGATGTTGGTGCCATAACAGCCGTCTGCTCATCATCATTAATTACAGACACATCTCACACCGCACGGAGCAAATACTCAACTAGAATTACGTCTCTTAAAGTTATATCAATGAACATTTCAGATTCTTCAGGGTAGAAGTACCAGCTATGGACATCTGACAAGGCCATGAAGTGAATGTTTGTACAAAGGCTCAAACTAGTGTTTATGGAAACCTATCAAATGGAGGTCCAATATTCTCCACTGTTCTGGTTTGGTCTCGCTCAGACACAAAAACATGCTGATCAGCCTCAGCCTGCAGAATATTGTGCCCCCAAAACGGCCCAAACCAAGGTGGGTGGTACGTGTCCAGGTGATATCCACACGAGTGCCACGCTTCCCCAAAGACGGTGAACGTTGTTCAGATCACCTGTTAGTGGTTCAAATGTTGTGGCTCATCGGTAAGTATCTGTACGGTGGCCGACGGGGGCAAATGGCGTACATATACACCAACGAGCAGCAAAAGGAAAACGCTGCATATCCAGTCACACAACAGAAGTGCCCTCTATAGGCCTCTAGGGGCAGTAGTGAGCTGTTCACCGGAGAGGCAGACGGCGGTGAGCGAGACAGGTGACGTTAGTTGAAGGAAAAGCTGCAGGAAAAGGTTTGTATTCTCTGGTCTCCATGAGAACACAGGGAGGTGGCAGTAAAACACCCCGTCAGCACCAGATAATCACAATGACTGGAAAGATAAAGACGTAAACACTGCCCCTAGAGGCCTGGAGCACTTCTGTTGTGTGCAGCGTTTTGTTTTTGCGGTGCGTTTCTCTTTGTGCACATCATTTTCCCCCGTCAGCCACCGTACATCTGCCTCTTAAGCTGCTGAATGTTTAACTGAATGCTAACAGTGACATTTCAGACCAGGTGTCCCAAAAACAACAAAGAAGACTAACATTATCCTGGAGCTGCTCAGTGCAGCTGCATAAAGCGGAAATGTGAATCTCTGTGGGTTTGTTCACGCTTCCAGGTTTCCATATATAACAAACCAGCTGGTTTGGGTGCTGTGGGCATTTCTGTATTCTCCTTCAGAATCGAGTAGAGTCGTTTTACAGTCAGAGTCGTAGGTGAGCTGGTGTGCTAAAGCTGCAGTGAGTTAGCGACAGCTACATCTTCGCCATTTTAAGGCAGGGAGAGACTGTTCTCATGGAAAACACTTCTGAATGTGTGACTCTGATACAAGGAGAGAGCCTTCATTGATTTCTATTGTTGCTGATCAATAACACAATCAGATATGTTCATGTCCCGTATACCTGACTGGTACTGTTTTCTGTATCGTACAACTCCACTGAAGATATCAAAACTATGAAGTAACACGTGTGACACAACAAAATGCTTTAAATTGAACTTTGTTGAGAGTCTATGGTTGTATTCCTATAAACACACACATCTGCATCTGAGCAATACTTTCTGCTTAATTTTTCTTTTCCTGAAATCTCTGATGTACTTGAGTTGAAACAAACCACAGAATGTTAACATGACTGACCCACATCAGCTGAAGTCCATCACTGGAGCTGACTGCACTCTGCTGTAATGTGGTAATATGCTCTATGCACTCTGTTTCTATCAGCACGCAAGCTGCAGTGAGCCTGGCCGTTCATTTAGGGTGTAAATTACATTAAATGCCAACAATATTCATTGAAGAGAACTGTTTGAATTAAGGTTCAGAAGCGGCCAGCGTCCTCGTCGCTGCCTTTCATTCACATGGAGCACACTCTCACTTTGGTGGAGGAACAGCGTGAAGCTCTTTAAGGCAAAGGCCATCATTATCTCTTCTGCGCAGAATGAAAACTTTTTGTGTACATTTCATAATCATAATCAAGTTTTTTTTTTTTCATGCTGCAGAGACTGACGACACAGAACAAGAACTAGCGGACTGTAAAACCACAGAACTCTCCAATTATCGCGTGTTTTACGACTGGCTGCGTAGAAACTCCACTGGATTTGGAACATACTGTTTTCTCGGGCTCAAGGGCACATCCTCGGTATTTATAGAGGCCAGAGTAGCGCTGTGATCACTAACTTTGTGACCATGAGGCAGAAGTAAACTGGAAAAGGAGAGTGAGGAGAGACGGTAATGATAGGGAATTGAGATTAATGATGTCACATTATTGACAGGCGGTCAGAAGGAGAGAGAAAACGACATGAGACGAACCGAAGGAGTAGCGAGGATGGGGAAGGGCAGAGGAGGGGAGAAGATGAGACGGAGAGAAGAGAGAGAAAGACAAATGAAAAAGAGGAAGCGAGCAGGAGAGCATCTCTGACCTCTGGCAGTCAAAGTCAGTGGGTGTCTCTCCAGCGCTCCCCTGGGAGCCGGCTCGACCGGAGCATTAATTAGCCATTAACTCAGTCACAAGCCAGCCTGGACGCCCGCTGTGACGGCGCGCCGACTGTGTGCACGCTGGATCTCTCCTGGGTGATCCCTGTGTGCTGATCTAAATGACTGTTTTTATGGGGAAGCGGTGTGAATAAATGGCCGTACATTTCTCCGTGAAAACTGAGCGCACACCGATGCTTTTATTAAAACAGGAGAATGGAGATGAAACGGCTCAGTCACACTGTGGACCACGGAGCCGGTGCTTCCCAGAAACGTCTCCGGGTAACAATCGGGTGTTTGGGTTCAGACGCAGCCTGGCTAATGACGAGAGAGGAAACAGTTAATGCATGTTTCATAAAATAGTTCAGTTCAGAAGCAACCATTAACATTTAAGCAATTAGCTGCCGGACTGGCTGAGTTTCATGTAACAGTTAATATTATGCGACCGTTTCATTTAATGAGTCATTTTGGGAAACACTGCAGGAGAAATTAAGCTAAAGGACTTATTGTAAATGATGAGTAAACGCCAGTACAGGAAATATTCAACCTCAGGAATGCTCTGAACACGAGGCGCTGCTTGTTATCAGTATGACGACATTTAAACAAACAAACACTGGTATGTCAATAATACTCACACGATGACACTGTAAATAACAAGGTGCCAGTAAATGCATGCGCTGACACACTGGAGCATAATTCATTTTGCAAACTGAAAACATTTCCAGTGTTTTCAAACTTTCTGTCGATATCATAATAAAATCCTTATTGTGAATTCTTCTGGCCTTGAGGGGTTGAAACATTTCGTTTTGTTTTTCAGGGTTTTTATAATAAGTGATCAAGGAGATCAGCAACTGATATTTAAATTTGCAGTAAGAATTAAAGTACATTTGCAGTAAAAATTTAAATCCTAATTTCAAAGTTTGAAATAACTCTAACACAAACACACCGATTTCAACAAATAGAAAAACGCTGAGTATTGTGTGCAGTAATTAGTTGTACCCTGAACACTGACATCAGGTACCTGCCACACCAGCCCCTGTTCAGCCTGTATGTTGAACATGCTTCACTTATATTAGTTTTTCCTGAACTGATCCCATAACGTCACCTTGTTTCTTCCTGGCATGCACTGAAAACCTAAAAAAAAAACCCAACAAACTGGTGAGGCGTATTTAGATTGGTGAAACACTCATGGGTGATGTTCCTCTACGTGTCACTATCGTCACTGTCAGTGCTTGTAAGCTAGCGGGCAGTTAGCTTGAATGCAATCACAGCCCGATACTTTCTGAAGCTACTTTCTGTGACTTGATGGAAGGAAGGACGTTGCATTTTTAACCTTTAAGGTAAGGGGAATACAGAAACACTAGAGTAACAACCTCCTCCACTGTGACATTTAAAGACTAAACTCTACAAATCACTACACGGGGTTCTGCTGAATTCTTGCGACCATGATCTTAAGAGCACAGGTAGGTTTCAGAGTGTGATGGGAGTCGGTACCTCGTGATCTGAGGTCACGGTGCTCTGCAAGAGAATGGCAGATGGGTCCATTCTGGTTGAGAGTGAGTCACTGGC